TTAGAAATTTATCGTACAACTAAAAATTAATACCAATTTTCAGTTGTTTATTTAAATAATTATTGTTTAAACAATTTTATAATATTTAAACAAACTTACTAGTATTACCTGGTGCAACATGCAAAAATTTTGGTCGTGAACATAGTAAATAAATAAACATAATAAATTAATCATTTTTTAAAGTAACTGTTTATCGGCAAGTCAAAAGTCCAATAATTAATAATAAAAGGTAGTTGAAAATATGATAATTGAATTTTTTAAGTTGCGAGACATCGATTAAAAAAAAGTCATCGAAATTGGTCCATTAGAAGCTGAGATAAGTGACATTTTTCCGAGCGTCGCAGTTTTGAACTCCAGAATTCAGATCGGAGTAGCTGTGTGTTTGCTCCCCCCACCACTGATACCTCATTGATTTCACGTGGTCTTGAATATCTTTGAGTGACATTTTAAATGGGACGCCAGTAGTTAAACAGTGGGGCTACCAACGCACTTCAAGGTCACTCCAGGCTACCACCATCCGGAGCTGGCACCAGGTCTCCAGCAGCAGCTCCAAGGTCACGCTGAAGAAGTGTTAGTGAGGTGCAGGGGGTGGGGGATCTGGATTGCAGAAGAAGAAGCCGGGGTCCGTCATCGGCAATGACCAGGAGGTCGGCATCGAGGAGCGTGACGTCAGAGGCGGCACCAGGTGCATGCATGAGCAGCGGGGGGGGGGCAGCGGCGGGGGGCAGCGGCGTGGTGCAGGCGCTTGGGGCGTCAGTGGGGTGCCGGCGTGTGGGGTAGCAGCGCGATGCCGGCGTACGGGGAGGCAGCGGGATGCCTGCGTCATAGGGGGGAGCAGGCGGCCGGATACGGCCTACGATGCTGGAAGCCGACAGCGGGCTGCGGGGGGCGGCGGCGGCAGCGACGACGGCCTCTTGGTATCAATCTTTTTGTTATAAGGTAGAAAATATAAGAAACCCGATAGTTAAAAAATTTATCGAGCTAAGTAAACAGTCTCGAGCCTCCAAGGTTATAATTCTGCATGTTAGCGAGTTATCTGTGACACTAATATAAATATTGTGATGATTTATTAGGTATACTTTAAGAAATACTTGGTAAGAACATGGACTCATAGCGGATGTCGACTAAACATAAACAGAGGAATGCGTGTGAGAAGTTAGAGTGTATGAAAGCAGGTGCGACTGTTTGTCGGCTGATGTCACCACAAGTTCGTCTAAGGTCTGGGGACTGGAGCGCGGTATAAACATTAAAGGATGGTGGTAATAAATAATGTGATAAGTTATTATGTTGTTGTTGTTTCTAAGAAATACTTGATAAGAACATGGTTCTATAGCGGATGTCGGCTAAACTCAAAGAGCGGAATGTGTGGATGATGATGTCATAGTCATGAGGTCACCTATTTTAGTGGCGACAGCGAGATGCAGGCCTCTTGGTACAACGAAGCACATAACACTTAAAATATAATGGAAACTGCAGTAGTGAAGTTTTGTTGGAGAATTTATTTATCGTACAGCGCCATCCAACGGATATGTACCTAACTTTTTATACAATTTATAGGTCACTTCATTATTCAGTTTAGCGCCATCTATTACACATAGAAGACAATATATTTCTGTGGTAAAATTATTAATTTTACGAGATTAGAAAAACCAAATATACAAAACTAACGATGAAAAATGCAGAACTAAAATAAAAGAGAAATTTTAAATTAACCATAACTAATATAATCCTATATGTCGCATAACTTTAATAAGGCTTCAATCACACATTCTTGACGAACACTTTTCAAATGAAGATTTCGTGATAGTAATATACAATTAAAAGCTAATTTACAAATACATTTTTGATTAAGTTAACCTTCAATTTTGGAGGAAATTGTTCTTAATTTCAACAGAAGAAAATAAAGTTGGGGTTAACTGCTAGTTAGCGATAACCATTATTTAGTTACTCATATGGCGATAACCAACAATTAAAAACTAAAAGTTATGAATATTTCAATAGTTACAGAATTTCAAAATCTCGAAAGTGTTTTACCACTGCATTTCCCACCATTAGCTTTGAATATTTACGGTTTTTCTAATCTGAAAGAGAAATTCTTATTTGAATTGAAAAAATTAAAAAAATAATAATATAGAACTTATACACATAAAATTATACATTGAAAATAGTTTGCTACTGAAGAAAATAATACATTAACTTGACTTTCAGGCTTCTTTAAAATCTGAGCCCATAAATTTCCATTCAGTATTTACGAATGTATGTTATGAATCTTTTGGTAAAATTGTTGATGGACCTCATCTTGTAACACCAAATAAATAGTAATGTATAATATGCAAGAATACCAGTTTATTCATCAATTTTGTTAAGTACAGGATGTAATCGTCATATGTATATTGCAAGATTTCACTATTTATAAGATTTGTAGTATCAAAAAAAAAAGAAAATTAATATAAAAAATATATTAGTTTAAAATACATATAACAAAAAAAATAATTTCTAAATTAACAAAAATATATATAACACCACGAAAATACGTACCACTACAAACGAAAACTTAACCTCAACGAAACTCATGGCGGTCATAGCAGGATCGGGTAGACATATTGACATAATTTTATTATTAGGCAACCAATCATACCGCGGGGACTTTTTAGAAATTTCAACACTAGCGCCCTACGATGGACATGTACCTATTATACGATTTGGACTTGGATTTAGATTTGGATTTGGATTTGGATTTGGATTTGCATTTTGATTTTGATTTTGATTTGGATTTGGATTTGGATTTGGATTTGGATTTGGATTTTGATTTCGATTTGGATTTGATTTGGATTTTGATTTTCATTTGGATTTTGATTTTGATTTGGATTTTGATTTGGATTTGGATTTTGATTTGGATTTGGATTATGATTTGGATTTGGAATTTGTTTTGATTTTGATTTTCATTTGGATTTTGATTTTGACTTTAACTTTGACTGATTTTGATTTTGACTTTGACTTTGACTGTTAGTTCTGATTTTTGATTTAGATTTTTGATTTTGATTTTGATATTTGATTTTGATTCTAATTTTGATTTTTGAATTTGATTTTGATATTTGATTTTGATTTTGATTCTGATTTTTTATTTTGATTTTTGATTTTGATTTTTGATTTTGATTTTGATTTATAGTTTGATTTGGATTTGGATTTTGATTTGGATTTGGATTTTGATTTTGATTTGGATTTTGACATTGACTGACTGACTTTGAGTTTTAGTTTTGATTTTTGATTTTGATTTTTGAATTTGATGTTTGAATTTGATTTTGATTTTTGATTTTTGATTTTTGATTTTTCATTTTTGATTTATGATTTATGATTTATGATTTATGATTTATGATTTATGATTATTATGATTTATGGTTATTATGATTTATGATTTGATTATTA